AGATTCTCTATTCTTTGAGAACTTTGCAAAATAAGTCTAAGATTTATTTCCTTGGCTACTTTGATCCTCGTCTATCCTAGACTCGATCAAAGTGGGGGCTAAATGTAGACATCTACTTTTGGCCTCCTGTCCCTACAGGAAGTGCAATGACGATAAATAAAACCATCTTTGTGTTGGATCGAAGTGAAGAATGCTTATGGATGACTGGCTAAACCCAAAAGACACAAAAAGACTAGCATAACCATAAACAAATACAAAACAAGGTCCAATTAACTAAACCCGATCATAATTAGGCTTAAGCTCATGATTGAGACCCAATAATGATGGATTTAGAGGCGCCTAGCTTAAAATTAAAGATGTCGCAGGAAAATCCGCGCGCATCTCAATGAGTCGCGCTGGTATGGTGCGCACAACTAATTTAATTGCGCGCAACACCCAACGCAACTTCTAGAGATGCGCTCGCGAAAGATTCATAATTTTATAAAATATAGAATCGAATCTTACCATAAAACCGTGCGCAGGATATTAAGTTGCGCTGCCCATTCAGTTGCGCTGCCTTTAGTTCACAAGAGTTGCGCTGGAATGACGCGCACAACACCTGTTGTGGTAGAATGCTTAAAACCCTAATTGCACCAATTCCCTATAAATAGGGGCTTGATACGAGGCTTAAACACACAGAAATTAACCTAAAATCATGGCAGAAACTCTTGTGAACTTGTGCTTCCAAACCCTCTTGTCCTAAACACTCACCCTTCTTAATCTTTGTTACTACGGTGGAGGTTCCCGAACAAGAAGTAGTCCATAAGTGTTCCTAACAGAGATCTAGCAAAGAGAAGTGGTAAATTCCCGAGCACTTAGATAAATCACATTTACTTTTCTTGTTTAAAAGAACTTTAATCAACAAAATAGTGTTGTTTGACCACTTTAAAAGAACATTTAATTAATCGATTCCACATAGTATCTTGTGTTAAATAATATTAGAATTGAATAATTAATTGATTGATTGATCACCTAAGCCAAGGCAAATCTTGTTTACTTTTGCTCCTTTCACGAATTTGAATTAAATAAAGAATAACGACTTTGCAATGTAATTCCTACGTGATTTAGGTATCACGTTGCATATATTGTTTGGTGATGAAATTATATAAAAGGAAGAGCTAGTAGAGGCTGCACTATGGCTAGAATAGCGATTCTCGTTTTAAAGGTAACGTTATTTTAGTACCCTCGCTCCCGAACTCATTTCTGGTTTATGTAGACCAATTTGGGCATGGGTAAACTAATGATTTGTGCTAAACATCCCATGAAATCCACATGGGAGAAAGTCATGAATGAGGTTTATGGGTTTTCCCAAAACTCATTGGCGACTCCTACTTGTTTCTTACAAAAAAGCGTGATGATAGAATCAGTTCTACTTCAAGGTCCCCCAAACAGTCATGAATTCAAATCCTAATAAACCTTAACAAGTATAAAGTCCTAGGCTTTTAAATGGCCATGGGCATCTAAGGAAGGACCCCCTACGATGGGATCACCCTCCTTACAGCATGCTCAATCATCTCTCTTGTCCTCACACCTCTCCTCAAAATGGAAAAGTTGAACGCTACATAAAATCAATAAACATCATTCAGACACTTCTTGCTCATGCTTCCTTGCCACATTCCTTTTGGCATCATGCTCTAGCTATGGCTACTTATCTCCTTAACATACTTCCTACCAAAGTCTTAGGTTTCAAATCTCCCACTCAAGTTTTATGTCCGGCCAATCTATACGGAATTACGAGTCTTTGGTTGCTTATGTTATCCTCTCTTCCCTTCTTCCACTATTAAAAAATTGCAAGAATGGTCCACTCCTTGTGTCTATCTTGACCTGGCTCTAAATCATTGTGGTTCGAAGTGCTATAATTTATCAAATGGAAAAATCATCATTTGCAGGCATGTGAAATTCATTGAAAACGAATTTCCTTTTCAAAGTTACACAAGTCGACACTCGCTGATTATGATTTTTTAGATTTTAATCCATTAAATCACATATCTCATTTGCACACAAATCAACCACATCCTTCTCCTTCTTCTTCTCCAGCCCAGCCCACACCTCCAAATGGGTTGCCTACCCCCCAGCCCACTACTGGGCCTTCATCTCCCTCCAGCCCGGTCTTCAATGGTGTTGTCACAGCCCACTTAGACAACTCCCAGCAGCATGCCTCTCATCATACCCCTAAGCTTGGGCCTCCCCTCAACGACAGCCCACATTTCACTAACCCAATTAGTTAAACTCATTCCCCATCATCCCCTGGAAGCAACACTGCTTCCACCAACCCGCATTCACCCTCGACCACCTCCACCTCACCACCCTACTCTATCCACTCCATTAGTCACCAAGCTACCCCATCCCATCCTATGACTACCTGAGCTAAAGATGGCATTGTAAAACCTAACCCAAAGTACTTTCACAACTTAAACACGACCACCACTACCACCATTTCCCCTATCCCAAAGGACCCGATTAGTGTTATTCGTGACCCTAATTGGAAAATTGCAATGTTAGATGAATATAATGCTCTTATTGATAATCATACATGGTATTTGGTACCTTGGCCCCGTAACGTGAATGTTATTCGTTCTATGTGGATTTTTCGCCATAAGCAAAATGCTGACGGTTCTTTTGAGAGTCATAAGGCACGTCTTGTAGATGATGGCAAGACACAGCAGCAGGGTGTTGATTGTGATGAGACTTTCATTTCGGTTGTCAAACCGGCCACTATTCGTACTATTCTCAGCATTGCATTATCTCACTCTAGGCCCATTCATCAGTTGGATGTCAGGAATGCTTTCCTCCATGGTTATCTCAATGAAACTGTTTATATGCATCAACCTATGGGTTTCCGCGACAAAAGTCGCCCTGATCATGTGTGTTTATTGCGGAAATCCCTATATGGCCTCAAACAGGCTCTCGGGCTTGGTATCAGCGATTTGTAGATTATGTCACATCTATTGGATTTTCTAACAATTAATCTGATAACTCTCTGTTTATTTACAGGCAGGGCTCTGATGTTTCTTATCTTTTACTATATGTTGATGATATCATTCTTACAACTTCTTTTGACCGTTTAAGGAAACATTTTATGGCCCTCTTGAGTACCGAATTTGCAATGAATGACAGGTTCGTTGAGCTTCTTCTTGGGTATTGTTGTCACTCGCAATGCTAATGGTATGTTCTTGTCTCAGAAACAGTATAATGCTTCTATTATTGACAGGGCTGGCATGTCCCATTGTACCCCCTGTCCTACACCTGTTGACACAAAATCCAAGCTTATTGCCTCTCATGATGCCCCATATGAGGATCCAACTAACTAAGTATAGGAGTCTTACAGGTGCTCTATAGTACCTAACTTTTACTAGACTTGACATCTCATATGCAGTTCAACAGGGATGTCTACATATGCATGATCCGCGTAATGCGCATATGGGTGATTTGAAGCGTATCATACGCTACTTACAGGGTACTTTGTCTTATGGTTTGGATTTGTATAAGTCCTCTCTTACCAAACTTGTTGCTTATACTGATGCGGATTGGGGAGGATGCCCCGACACCAGGCGATTGACATCAGTTTACTGTGTATTTTTAAGTGATAATTTGATTTCCTGGTCTTCTAAATGGGAGCCCACTTTATCAAAGTCTAGTGCCGAGGCCGAATATTGTGGGGTTGCTAATGTGGTTTCTGATTCTTGTTGGATCCGAAATTTGTTGCTTGAGCTCTATTTCCCTATTCGGACAGCAACTATTGTTTATTGTGACAATGTGAGTGCCATCTACCTCTCTGAAAATCTGGTGCAACATGAATGCACAAAACACATTGAGATGTATACATTCATTTTGTTCGTGAAAAAGTCGCTAAGGGCGAAGTACGAGTATTACATGTCCCTTCTGGTTATCAGATTGCAGACATTTTTACAAAGGGTCTTCCACGGGTTTTGTTGGACGACTTTCGTACCAGTCTTAGCGTCCGTGATTCTCTCACTACAACTACGGGGGAGTGTTAGAATATATGGCAATATATTCTTGTTTGACTTTGTATTTGGTTAGTGTATATTTCCTAGCCTAATTTGTAGCTAGTCACTAGTCAAGATTATCTCTTGTAATTTGTATATTCATACTCAAAGATAATCAATGACAAAGCAACGATTACAATCTTTGATTAGTCATTTCAAGCTCTCAGTATGGAAATATTTGCCTCTTTATCCAAGACCAAAGTTCAATTCATACAAATTCAACACAAAATGCTTTCGAAACTGGCACCAATAAAATGCTTTAGAAAGAACTTATGGAAAATAATATACAGAGTAACTCAGAACATCTACAATTTTGTAACATATGCACAAAAGATTAATGAAGAAACATCAAAGAGCATACTTAAAATTACTACGCAGTTTGCTAACAATGAGTAAGCTATACAATTATTTATTTATTTATTATTGATATACGAGTAGAATGTTATAGATTACACAATTAGATCATGTTAAGACATAGAATTAATGTACAAATCCCGAGTAAATATAGAATATACCCCCATATGGAATCGTTTAGAGGCCAAATTAACTTTAAATCGTTGGTTGGTCTAGCATATACAACCTTCGTTCTCTTTTTATTAAAGCATTAAGCATTATTTCATGCTTGTTAATTCACATTTTATAATATTATAAATATTTAAATACATATTATTAATTAAAAATAATATATAAACTCATATAAAATCAACAAGATTTCATTATTATGTTTTTTCTTAAGAATAAATAACAAAAGATGATAAAAATAAATAAAAATAAATAAATGAAGTGTATATAAATAGTACTATAGTAGAATAAGACGTTGCAGCCTAAAAAGAGAGAAGAAGTAAAGGATAGTCCACTGTATAGATCAATTCTCGTCTTTTATAAAGTCCCCACATTTAACCTAGCTTTAACGTCTTTAAGGCTAATTATTCAATCTAATGATTGTTAGCTGAAATGCGTCGTTATATCAATGTAAAAGAGCTAAAAATAGAAAGGTTTGTTTTTAAATTAAAGGATGAAAGTAAGTTTTTAACTATATCACACGATTATGTGCTTCGTCATTCGTCAATCATCCGCATGTTATTACATTTGTCTTTATTTGACTATATAAGTGAATTGAGTAGGGTGAATGTACACAACGGAAAAATAACAACCATCATTCATAATACATATTATTCTATCCGTCCCTAAATTAAAAGTCTCTTCCCTCAAGAAAAAAAAAATTAAAAATCTCTTTCTCTTTATTATGTGAGTAATAAATGTTAGAAAAAGGTTTGTATTAAGGGATGGAAGGAGACTATACTATGGAGTAGAAGTAACGCTGCCGTCGTTTCGATTTTTTTCTTTTATTGAAAGTCATTGCCAATTTAATCGCAACTTGTATATCCTTCCATAAATAAACTCGTATACTTTCTTCGTTCTTTTTTAATCGCTACATTAGGGATTTTACTTTTGTTAATGCTCATTTTATATCTTAATTTAAGTTGTAAAACGGTAAAAATTACATTTTGAGATAAATCTAACAAGATCTTAAATAACTATTAATATCTTCGTCGCTTAATACAAAACCTCTCTTGATTTTAGCGCGGGAATTAAGAAAGTTGTAAATTTTGTAAAGCTAATTATTAAAAGTATATATGTGCATGTGAGTTAGAGAGAAAGAAAACGTAGTTGGGAATAATTAAAGAGATAGAGAGAGCAAGTGTTGGGAATTGATGTTAAAAGTATAAAAAAGTAAAGGAAAAAAATGACAACTCATAAAAATAGGGTAATAATGTCAAAAATTACAACATTTAAATAGAAAGAGGCGTTGTATTTTGATTTACCCAAAAAGAAAATGAGGCTTTATATTAAGGAACGGAGGGAGTATAATTATTCCAACATATAAATCATAAAAGATAATGGGCTTGTTTGGTAAATGGTTTTTCCTTAGCTTTTTGATTGACTCTTGGCTTTTTCATTTGGTCAAACATCCAAAATTTGTGTTCGGTAAATGGCTTTTTCAGCCAGCTGAAAAGCTGGATTTTAAGCCAAAATGAAAAATCTACTTGGAGTTGCTTTTGGCTACCTAAGTTACTAATAACATCCAACAACCAAGTTTACCAAATATGCTTTTAGACTAATAAACGGTCAAATAGCCAACAAAAAAACCAATATAAACAGTCAGTCAAACTAGCCAATCAAAGTAACCGATAGCCAACAGCCAATTACCAAACAATGCCAATAAGAAAGTATTGCTAATAAGACAACTTTTCATAAACAACCTAGGAGGCTAGGACAAATAGTATATTTTAAAAGTGGAGGAGTTAAAAAAGTTTCTCAAACATTTGTAAAATCCTCACAGTGACACATTCCATCATCAATCATCATAAAATGTACTACAACTTATAACGCAATTATGTACCTTTGGGAATATTGGGACTAAGTTGCTAAAAGCAGCTTATCACTTTCATATCATATCCACTTTATAAGTTCTAAGCAAGTAAGCACTTAATTTGACGCAAGTCTTTAGAAGATGAACTTCTTTCAATGATTCCGCCGCTCATAATTAACATGTCTTTTCTAGCCAATAATTCAAACAAGATATGCATGAAGTTAAATTTGCGATTATCAACTTATCACTCCTCGAGGTCTTTTAGTACAATTTTAAAACACTTTAGTTACTTGATGATGATGATGATAAATAAAAAGTTAATGGTAATGGTAAATTGGTAATAAAAGGATCTATTTGTAAGGCTCCGTTCATTTCATCATACAAAATTCTTCTCTACAAAAATAATTTTAGATTAGTACTATGTAATTTCAGTTCAATAAGATTAATTTTAGTTCAGTAAAAATTGGTAACTTTAAAGTATAAATATTTTAGAGGATCAATAAAAATAATTTAAGTTCAGCAAAATAATTTCAGTTTTGTGAATATAACTTTAGTTCAGTAAAAATAATTTCAGTTTCGTAATAGTAATATCAGTTCAATAAAAAAAAGTAATTTTTTTTTTGTGATTCTTAGAGAGCCTCAAGGGCGGGGATGATGAGAATCGATTTCGGGATCTCATGGAATCAGGAGGGAAGTTCTAACCATTTGAACAATCCCTCACTCTCTCAAAAAAAAAAAAAAAAAAAGGTGAAGTGAATAGGGCCTAAATTTGTTATGAACTTTATAAGAAATATAAATGGTGATAACGAAACTTTTTCTTTGAAAAAAAAAGGTAGCATTATTTACTTCACCTTTTTTTTGGCAGAATAATGAAATTATTTTTATTAAACTGAAGTTATTTTTTATGAACATAAATTATTTTTACTTAACTATAATTAATTTTACTGCACTGAAATTGTATTTGCTGAACTGAAATTATATTAATCGATTCTCTAATATATTTTTATAAAGTTATTAATTTTTACTCAATTGAGATTATTTTTTACTGAAATAATAATATTTATTGAACTGAAATATTTATTGAATTAAAATTAATATTACTGAATATTATTTTTATAAGGAGAACTGAACATGACCTATGTAGATATTTTGTTCATTTTCTGTAAAACTCAATTTCGCCTCTAAATTTAAAATGAATGGAATTGTAAGAAGGAAAATATTAATGATAGTTAGGCTATGACCCTCAATAAAGATATTATGAATATTTCCCCTAAAAAATGGTAAACATAAATTCAGCTCAATAAACATAAAATTAATTTAAAATCTCCTAGTACATCTCTCGCACATAATTTATATTTAATAGATATTGCACAATGGTCTGGTACATCTCTCGCCCATATCACTAGCTAGATTATTCAGCCTTTTAAGGGAGACTCTCTAACGATTCATTGTGATCAAGAGAATGAATTTCAATTGATATATTTGAAAACTTGATAACCTTTGTAATCCAGAATTCTTTATCGACGAATCAATTATAATCATATACATAATTCCATAAGAGGAACAAACAACTACATCAACGACGGTCAACAACTCCACCATAGAAGATATTTATATGAGTAAGGGCATGTTCTCTTACGTTGAAATTCAGTTCAGTTCAGTTCAGTTCAATTCAATTCAGTTTAGCTCAGCTCAGTTCAGTTCAGTTCAGTTCAGTTCAGCTCAGCTCAGCTCCTAATTTCCTTCTCTTATAAAATATTCATTTCAGTTCACTTCAGTTCAGCTCAATTCAGTTCAGTTCAGTTCAGTTCAGTTCAGCTGAGTTCAGTTAATGAGAACAGACCCTAAGACAATCTATGTATGTAAGTGACTAAAATATATAATTGATAGGCAATGATTATTTTTACTTAACTAAATTTATTTTTATTAAAATAAAATTATTTTTGCTTAACTTAAATTAACTTTATTAAATTGAAAATATTTTGTATTTTTATTGACCTGAAATTATTTTAAATGATTTTTTTATTAATATTTCCTTGAATTTAATTTGTTTTTTAAATTTACTGGTTTTTATTTATTTAATCAAAAAATTATTTTATTGAACTGAATTTTTTGCTAATTTGAACTTATTTTTACTGTTAATAAATTAAAATTATTTTTATTAAATAGTACTCCCTCCGTTTCATAATGTTAGTCCCATATGGAATCAATCACATAAAATAAGAAAACAAATATATTTGGAATCTAACATTAAAGTACAACAGATTTCATAATTAGTTTACCTTATTTAACTTTTTTTATTTTTCATTAGGAAAGCACAAGTCATAATTGCATAATTTAAGGTAAAAATTTCCCTACTTAGAGTTATGTCATCAATCCACAATCAATTAAAGTAAAAAAAAAAATAAAGTATATTCAATATGGGTAAAAATTTTTGAAACGCCCAAAATAGTATATGGGACTAACATTATGAAACGGAGGGAATACTTCGTATTGAGTATTAATGTAAGGTAAGTAGTAAAAAGGGGAAAAAACTATTTCTATTACAGAGTACTTTTTAAATTTCATTTTATTGAGTAGGACAGTCAACTTTTCCATTTTTGGTGCCATTCTATGTATTCTTCCCAAAATTGAAAATCTAGCATTTTTTCCCAATTAAGGGATTGAACGTTTCCATCAAAAATTTAAAAAGATCATTGGGAGATTGTATTAATCTATGGTGATCCACGGAGAGTCGGAGAGATGGAGACATAAACTTAAAAATCATATCTTTGATCCATGATTCAACGTTATCGAAGCTTCCTTGATTTGATTTAATTTTGAATGAAACAAAATGTCCCCATAATATAATTAAGCTTTAAGTTTTGTACTCCATACCATAAATTAATTTATACTTCATACATCTACTAGTATAATAAAAGTGAAATTAAGAATAAAACATGTTATCTTCGTCAAAAAAAAAAATTAAAAAAAATAATAATAATAAAACATGTTATCTTGTGGTGAACATCTTTACTGTCAAAATTCAATATTTTTTAAACACTGTAATTTTATTTTTATCTATATATTCAACTACCATATTTTTGTATATATATGCATCTAGTCAAATATTCTTTCATATCCTCCATATATTGTATATAAGCTATATTATATATAAAATTTTAGTTTAAATAATTAAAGAATTATACTCCGTATTAGAAACACATTCATACCATGATTAATCCTCTAATCAATTTTTTATATATAATTTTTGTAGTCATATTATGTATAACAATTTTATTGTATCTTTAAGATTTTGTATCATAAGAAAGAAAAAAATTGATTTGGTCAAAAAAATGTAACTAGAAGGATATATATATAGGTGGAAAATGTAACTTTGATTTCTTTTGTATTGAAATAGATTAATTTTTTTTTTTTGTGAAATAAAACTATTCCTTTCATCCTTTGTACAAAAAACTTTGATAACCGTGTATGACACATGACTTTAGTTAGTTTTTGTGTAATAAAAAATAGCTTACAACGGGGAAGATATAATGATATACATAAATCTTAGGGTACCTAAAAATAGACTTAAAGCCTGTTCTCGTACGCTTATTTTCAGCTCAGTTCAGTTCAATTTAG